AAGCATCAGAACACCTGTCTTTGTATCCAAACAATAGGATCGGGAGAAAAACATGCTGTTCGGACCCATTTTGCTTACGTTCCATTTGGCTGCACGTCAATGAAAATAACTAAACATGACTATAAAAACTAGCAACATGACTGCCAGGCATATTGTAAATTTTACGGTGAAAAAGAACTTGAAATGAAAGGAAAAATGGTTGAAAGTATATGGTCGGAACTGGTGTTCAAATACGGAATGCAGTAACCCAAGGCGGGGACTTTACTCCTTAGCAAGCAAATAAGTCAGTAAACCATATGATCCACAAACTGGCACTCAATAATCAGAAGTGTTTGTTTAGGGCGCCAACAAGTAAGATAAATAACAGACAAACCCAGCAGCCTAGTAATGGAATGAAACTAATGACGTCTTTGAGAGAGGTCACAATGGCGTCCTGAATGACATCATCTGATGCACGTTATGGGACCTGAGAAAATACGTCAATTTGCGAGAAATACGAACTCTGAGAGCCCTTGGTTGTCTCCAAAATCTCGGTTTCGTAAACACAGATGTGCAGTCGGTAATCATTATTTTTTGGAAAAGCAACCAATGATGTAGCGAAAGATGTAAAATTACGCAACGGAGCCACACAACAAACCAAACTAGTCCGTAATAACACAGAACTTGAGGATTGGTGCGTTGTTACATTTTCCGTCATTTCAACAGCTGCACGATCACTGCAACCAACCTTAATTAACATGAGCGCAGCGGAATAAACATGCTAACAATCAAGAATGTCAATAGTGAAACTGAATCGTAATATTCTGGGCGGTGGTTGTTCCGAATGGACCATTTGATTACCGTCAGGGGAGGAAAAAATGGCGACGAGCTACACGATACAACAGTATTGATTCGAAACTCCAACAGTAATGCTAGTGACATTCAGGAGCACAGATTATTTAACATTGGGTTTTGGTAGACTGTTGAGCTACAAACTAGATGATCAGAGCGGCGTGACCAATTTTAGATTTCAGGTGATTAGTTTGCTCTTCTGAACGATGAACTCCATACTCCAACAGATTTGTCAAATCAGTGTCTGCATGAATCCTAAACGCGACACCATTTCTTACTGCTTGGACGAATTATAAGGAAAACAAAGCGTCCGGGTCTTTTGACTGGAAAATGATCTAACGGTATACTGCGAACGACTATTGCACATATAGAAAAGTTGGAAAGAACGATTTGTCCTAACAACATCATCTAAGCATGATCGATACTCCAATCAGAGCGAGAGCACAGCAATCACTAACGTCACCTTGAATGATACATCAGTTACCAGTTCAACTCCTTTGTTATTAGCGACAAACAGACAACATTGCTTTGGTGAGCTAAGCGACATTTGGCACTCAATCGATCGAGCAACAAATATTCATCGTGATTCATGCAAAGAATGGCATTAAAAGCGCCCCGTAACTTTCTATTTTAATAGCCATCAACGGTGAAAATTGAAGCTCTAAGTTGGTCATAATCTTCTGACGCATAAAGGCCAAGATAAGGAAAAATAATGAGAAACTAACAATACAACAAATAGACAAAGTGAACAAAGACAAATGGGCCTTCCCATTCGGATACAAGCGAGTGGACCATATGACAAGACAGACAAATACGGACCAGAATGTTAGAGACTTCCATCTTCTATGGTTCAGGTTTTTTATAACTGAGTGGAATGGACACCTAAAACGCCTTAATTCCTCCAGCAGGGGAAATGCAAATCGCTGTCTTCCCGAGATGAAGGTGTATTCAATGAGGTGAGAGGAGCGGGCAGACAGCTCATTGATAAACCATGAACAGTCGGGTTATCTGTCGATGTAAAAACTGAAATTGAAACACAAATCATACGATGAAGTACAAGCTGGAGAGGGATCAAGCCTAATTGCAGGGAGGCAATGAAAGTGAACCTCTAGGGTTGACACAAAGTACACAATCTAACTGTGCATACATAACTTTTCAAGCACTGAACTACTGAGAAATGACAACAAGAACGCCATTGCTGTCGGTTCGTTGCCATATCCTTCAAGTTCTTCACCTAACCAGTTCAAGTCTTTTGGACCCCAGCCTGGAAGGTGCGAGGCACCTACTCCATCCAATAACCAAAAATCGACGACCTGAGGCCGGGGACTCGGCCAACGCATTATTATGAGCCTAATGTTTAGCCAGGTAACAGCGAAGATACCACGGAATTTTATAACCACCAGATTCTACTCTAAACAAGTCGAAAAGACGTATGCTTTAACCAAACAGACAATAAGCCCTCCAAAGGATGTTGAATTTGAACATTCTCTAACCGTGACGTAAATTTGAACCCTTAACGCAAGACCTGGGGTACGTTACTTCCACCTGACCAAACAATTTGGTCTCGACAAAAGAACTAGCTCAACGAGTCGCAGCGTACATTACTAAGAGATTTGGTATCAACGCATACATACAAGCCTTGAAAGCGTCACCGGTTGATGATAAGACGTTGGAAGAAGAAGAACAGGCGGGAATGAAAGTTTCGTCGTCACCATTTTGATCAACTTCAGCAGCGCGACTATTATTATTATTAAACAAGGTCACTGGGCCAACTACTGATTACTGCCGCAAAATATTTTGTCTTGAAGACAGTTCAGTTTGGATTAGTAATGATCAATGTGCATACATCTTCATATAGTGAAAAGCAAGGGGCCTGAAGAATCACATCGTAGATAGATTCTGCAATGTTAAACTGGATCCTAATTAGGTTGCATTGGGCGAAGCACATTTCCACTTTGCTAAGAACCCAATAGACTAAGAATTAGTTTTAATCCTACCGAGTTTACTGGCAGTGAAAATGGAAAAAAGACTAAAATCAAGCGTGATTTAAAAATTCCATAAGCTACGCATGCAAGCAATTGTGATCGAACTCAGCGTGATGCGAAACCGAAAGCTCTGCATACCAGTATTACCCTGCGTTCTGAATCTATAATCCCTGTTCAACCGAGCTTACACCACCTCACGGAAACAGCTTTAAAACCCAACCCTATCGGAGCCTATGCGTGTCAAATCAAGTGAAGCCATGTATCCTGAAAAATTCCTTCAAATAATTATGAAAGAACGTGCAATGAAAAAAGTACTAGGTACGCGTCTTTCCTGTGCCCCCAAAATAAGCCGCAAGTTTCAACTTATTGCAAAGGCATTCTTTGTTGTTGAAGAACCTAGGAATCTGCTTCATCTTCACAATAAATCAAAGTTTTTTAGATCAAGGATTAATCTACGTATTAAGTTTATTCATCAATACTGTAAGCTGAGATATATTTGGCACACTTTATCTCTTCCTCACTTGATATTTGTGGTAACGATTTCCTCGATTGTAGTTATGTTTTCATTTGGATTAAACGATGTGAACTTTCAATTTTATGACAAACATCTTGTCTTTCCCACAGACTAACTAATGTGACGTGTATATCGTCAACAAACGTCGAATGTACTCTATTGTCGTTTGGATCATTATGAGACAGCCATTGCTTTCGGTGAAACTACCGACTCAGGCGATTGAGTAGCCGTCAGGCGTTGAGTAATAGGCTGGTTTGGAATAATGAATTATGGTTGACCAAACTCTACTATTCAGTGATCATGACGGCACGCATGCCGAAGGCTCCATTGGCGTTTGCCAACTTAAGACGTTTGTGGCGTTGTCTGTGAAGGGTTGAATATGTGTTGCAGCAGTTCTCCCAATTCTGCTATGCGGTGCAGGGACTTGGCGAATACAAAAAACAGGATAAAAATAAGCTATCGAACACTGTTGTCTACGCCGTATTACAGGAGTCTGGTGGGGAAACCGGACGAGCAACGCTGAGGTTAGGCGCAGAGCTCTAGGTGATCGCGGTCGTCCACTGGAGCAAGTGACTGACCTCTATAGATTACGCTGGTTGGGGCATGTGTTACGCGTGCCACTAAATGGGG